CCTTTCCTCCCTCCCTTTCTGTCCCACCACCCCATTCGCCACTGTCTTTCCCTCCATTTTGTCCCCAAAGCCTTTCAGCAGACCCTCTCATTCCCCCCAAATTCTAGTTCCCCAGCCCCTGGGTTGAGCCTTCCTCACCTCTCTACCCTGCCAGGGGGTCCTACCACCCAGGTCAGGAAAGAAACCTCAGCTGCCCAGCCCTGACCACCCTACTGCTGCTCCCACTGGACACACAAATTGCTCTCCCATRCCCACCCAAGTAGCACCAAGCTATTTTGATTTAAGGGCAAACAGGCAGCCCACCCAGTCCCCTTCCTGAGAGCAACCTGTAGGGGCAGCTGAAAGAAGAGGGTAGGAAGTCTAGTGGAACAAGGCTTTCCAAAACCATCAGGTTTGAAGGGGCCTGTGGGTAGACTGGAAGAAACATGCTCTTTGGGAGAGACACATCCTTAGGGCAAGGGGCCTTGGGAAGTGACACGGAGGCTTTCCAATTTACCCTCCTGACCCCAGGCTGGGAGATTCTGAGCTGGAAGCAATGCCTGGCCCTCTCTCAGGTCCAGCTGACCCAGCCTATCCTCAAATCCTGGGCTCTCCTTGGAGAGGGAGCTCTGCTCTTCTCCAAGACAGACTGGGGCCTACATGCAAGGAAATTCCAGATCCTACTGCATCTCCTATAATACGCTCAATATGCTACAAATTTAAAATCAGTGAGGGAAAAAATCAAGTAAACAATAAAAAAAACCTAATATAAAACAGAGTTTCTTAGGAGCCAAGGTAAGATGGGAAAGGAGGCAAAAAAGGTCTGTCGAGCCTTATGCTCTCTGTACCTTATTTTGGTTTCCAATAAGGCAGACATGGTACATTTTGCTCAATTTTCCACTCCTAATCACGTTGAGAACGTTGGTGGAGAAGTGGCTTTCACTCTCCTGAATGGGTTTTGGAGCTGGAATTCATTTAATTAAGTATTGTTCCTTTCCCAACCAAACTTGGACCTGGAACCTGACAGTTCTGCTCCTGTGCGGCCCCAGGTCTATTCAAGGCCTCGGTGAAAGCTCCCTCAGGCTGCATCCGGCCCATCCCCCAGAAGGCTCCGCACAGGGTGGGTCTTGAGGCCACCAGAGGCAGTGCAAACTGGGAGCAGGGGACATCCGGGAGAAACTCCAGGGGCCTCAGGGCAAGGATGGGGAAAAGAGAAAGACGAAGAAACAGAGACACATACAACTTAATGGTTATGTTGGATACACACTCAGAAAGTGGGAGCTGGAATAAAGAAGGAAGGAAAATTAACTATAGAGGTAGGGCCCAAATAGGAAAGTGGGAGTGAAAAATGGCATTAATAAAGTCTCTTTACCAGGAAACTTTTGGCTGGGTTATAAATTCAAATAAGAGATTTCAGAGAAGTAGGGTGTCTAAGGCTGGCATTTGGGTCCCCTGGCCAATCTCTGTGGATTTACCTTCCTGCCAAGTGGTCACTGTCTGAATAAATCAAACATCCCTTGTTGGAAGTTCTCCTGCGCTCCCGGACCCCTCTTGGTCCCTTTACTCCCCACACCCTAATCTTTCTGCTGGGCGGGGAGTCCCTGCCCACATCAAATCATATTCTGTCCTGCCGGCTAGTTTTATTGCTAGACCACCATCAATCTTACCCCTAACACGACATTTGTTTATGAATAGATGGGAAAGGCTAATGGTTTCATGAACCAGCCATGAAATGAGTAGAGAAGAGTCAAAAAAGAAGACTCTGAAACACCAAGCAGGACCCAGTGGTCCACTCAAAAGCAAAAGGGGTCCCTCTCCTAGAGAGCTAAGATGTGAGATGCGGGTAGAAAAAATCGGAAGAATACTGATTTGGTTGCCTAAGGCTTGGATAGAGTATGGATGCCTCTTGTCCCTCCTGGGCTGTCAGACCAGGCTGCCTGAACATGCATAGTTCAGGGTCTCTCCACTTTTACACCATTAAGAACAAAACTAATGGCTTTCCACCCTAAAACCCAAGACTCTCCCGGCCCCCAAGTGAACAGGGTGAAAGAGAAAAAGTGTCATGACTTTCTTCACCTATCAAAGTTAGGGAGAGCCCAAAAGGGCTATAAGGCACTCTTGTTTCCTGACCCTTGTTTCTGACCCGACAGGAAACAGCCAGGAGCTTACAGGCAACCAGTACAATTGAGCCTTATTCTTCTGCAAACATCGATTATTAATGACACAAACTGTGTGGAATGATAGATTGTAAAATGCATGCTTGTTTGCATGCAGCCTGGTGAAAAAGGCCTGCTAACTACATAACCCTACAAAACAGCACGTGTTCCTACCACACATGCATTATGCCAAATGCAAGATTTTATGTGGCATATAGCATGCTAGCATTCATGCACTCATAGTATATATTGCTAAGAAAATAAACATACCCCACTTGCGTATAAAGGACAAAATACTTATTATCCAAAGCTTTCTACAGAGGCAGTTTACAAAATTAGCTGATTCTTCCAACCGGACCCTGCCTGCCATCAGCAGACTAATTTCAAAATGAACTGACTAGCAGTTAAAATATCAAGAAATTTTTCTCAGAACATTTTACAGGAAAAAAATCCTTATAATTTAAAAAAAGAGTAAAACTCAAACATGTGAACCACCAGAGTAAGAAGTTCCAGGTTAAATAATGTCACAAATTGTTTTTTTTTCTTGAATTTGGATATGAAAATTCAAAAGTAAACGTATTGATGGTAGAAAAATTATACATTTGTGATTTTAAAAAAGAATAAGGAGCAGACCTTCTCTTCTCCCACTCACAATTAGTTTCTAAACTATTATGTAGGCAAATCGTGCAGAAATAAATACAAGCACCTTCATAGACCCATATGTCTTCCATGCCTAATTTTTCAAACTTCAAATCGAAGAGGATGAAAATAGTTGAGAAACTCTCCTCTGGCACGCAGGGAAACATTCCCAGGAGCTGTGGTGAGAGGGGCCCCGCCGGTCACAGAAGTCACAACTCCATACGCACAGCCGGTTTCTCACCAGCTGCAGGGTCCAAATAGGAAGGACTACAAGGAGCCCACTCCACACTCTGGYGTGCTCGGGAAGGGCCCTGCTGGGAACCTGCCGGCTCTTCGCTTTGCCAAGCTCTCCCCAGCTGCCGGATTCTGGGCAGGCCGAGTGCACTCCCGGGAGGCGTGCGGGGCGCAGACCTAGCTGTCCCGCAGGCCACCCCTCGGAGCAGCGCGGCCTAGCAAGAAGCCCACCTAGCTCTACAGGGCCAGGCTGGGGTGAGGCCCACGGCCGGCTGAGGCGGCGACATCCTTAGGGCTTCAAAGGCGAGGCCCACGGAGATGGCGAGGGCTGCGGGCACGTGGACCCCAAACACGAGGAGCTGGCCTCACGTACACAGGCCTCTCGCGTTCATTAGGCCCAGCGACTTCCTGCCTGGCCACTGCCAAGTGATTTGTGGCGTCTGTAAACCGACCTCACACACTGCACAAGGACGCAGCCCTGCGTTGGAGGCTGCCTGGGGCCACAGCGCTAGCCCGGACAGGTCCGGCACGGCCAGGCCAAGGTTGGCGGATTGGGGACCCTGTAGGACTTGGGAGGTGGTCGTGCAAACCAGTGGTCCCGGGCCCTGTGCTTGCCGAGGCTGTGGGGCGCGCTGTCACCCGGGGCGCGCTGTCACCCGTGAGCAATGAAGTGCCTCCGACCTTTCCAACCCGGCTGGGCTCCCAAACACACGTGTGTCTCCAAAACGAAGGTGACGAGCAAGAAGGAAATGGGAGCACTTGTGGGGCCGGGCAGCGCCTGTCGGAGTCGCGGGGAGAGGAGGGGAGCGAACTCCTCGGCGGCTGCCCCAGGCGCGATCGCCAGGGCCCCAAGGTGCGTCTTCCGTGCCGGTGACCCTGGTCCTCGGCACTCACACACGCCTGCTCCTGGCCACCTTCCGCTCCGCGAGGTCTTCCCGGCATCCCGACGCAACCTGTGATTAACCCATCAGACCTAACAGAGGTCTCCTTTGACTCTATTTTCTCCCCCCAAACAACTTATTTCGGGAGGAGGCCGCGGAGGCGAGGTCGGGAATCCGTGGAGGGCGGCGGCGGGGCGGGGGCGGGCGTGGGAGGAGGAAAGAGCTCCAAACGCCAACAGAAGCCGGGCCCCCGGGCCGCAGTGGGTAATTACAGCTAATTAGCTGAAGAGCGTTCCCATCCGGGAGCCGCGTCCCAGAAGCCGGCGTCGGGGTCCGACGCCACTCGCAAGATTTCGGGGCCCCAGCTGGAAAGCCAGCGGTGGGCCACGGGGCTCCACTAGCCACCCCCACTCCCCTCTGCAAAGAGTTGCACCAGATTTACCGAGAACTGTACGCTCTCCAGCTACTCAGCCTCGAAGCCGGTCAACCCGACAGGGCCGTAGGGTCACCTGCTGCCGCTCCCCATTGGGGCCTAGACAACCCAGCTCTGGCCACCAGACCCTTTGTACGCAGATCCCAGCTCCACCTTGGGTTCTCCAAAGTGGAGCAAAGCACCAACTCCACTAGATTGGTCGGTGGATTCTTTCCTTTCACACCCCCTCCCCATCTTATCCCCCAGGAAGGGGAATCCTAAGAAACTCCAAGCAGCCCTAGGACCTAGGACCTAGAAGATTTAAAAACGCCAGCCAGGGCCGGCCTGACCCGAACCGAGAGACACCGCGCCAGCACCGCTGCGATCTTCCCCGGCTATTAGGTTACGGCTCTGGGGGAGGGGAGCGAGCGAATCAGAGGCCACGTAGAGAAGTTTTTGACTGAAATTAGAGTGTATTTATTTGCAGCAATCCTTTAACAATGATCAAATTTTGACAACAAGCAACTGCAATTACTGCTTAAGTGTTGTCTCTAGATAGGAGCGGCAGATAGGAAACTGCATTATCTCGAAAACAAACTGAAAGGCCCTGAATGTCTGTAATCAAATCGCCATCTCCCCAAAGTCTGATTGACAGGGCAGATCACCCTAAGATAATGAATTTATTACATTTCCTGGGTTATTTACAAAAGGGGGGGAGGGGGCAATCCGAATTGCCCCCTAGGTTTAACTGTAAATTAACAAGAAAAAATTGGTTTGAAAAGAAACCACCCCAGACTAAATGTTCTGCCCTTGACGCCTTCCTTCTTGTTATTATTTTAAATCTTTTTTCAAAAATAATTGTTCTACAAACATATCTTCTAAAATAGTTACCCAAAGATTAAATATCCCTTTCCAACCCTCAGTATATTTGTATCTTAAAAAAAATCGACCCTTCTACATAACACACGAAGGATTGTAAATGTGGATGAGTTATATACATATACTTAAAAACTGGTTTATTTTTCCTCTTACAAAAGACTGAAATTAATAGGAAAAAAATCTATTCAGCATCTGGCTCACAGGGATGTATAATATGCAATGCAATTTTATATGGGAAACATGAGCCAAATATCCATCTGTGTATATCTTCAGGCACATTTGCATCTCTCTACACACAGGTATCACTGTAGTAAGACTGCTGCTGATTCATGGGCTTAAGATTTCCAAATCATGTTCTGTCATTACTGAGAAAAAAGTATTTGTTTATATGCCAACTCAAATCTGTTTAGGAAATTATCTTTTTTTTTACTAGCCACAAAGCAAGTTGACTGTACAGTACATTTTGCAGAAGATGCTGCAGGAAAAAAAAAAAAAAGATCTAAACAAAAAGAATTTCAGTGAAATTTTACATGGACTAGTCAGAGAGTTTCTCTTTTTCAGAGATTTAGGCGGAGAGCAGGTAACTCCTAGTGTGTTTTATCTCTGAAATCTTTCTTTATATTAAAGCTGTATTAAAGTATCCAGACATAGGTCTCATTCAAACTGAATGGCAATTTATTAATAAACAAACAATGCATATGTTCAACAAAAAAAGAAAGAAAAGATGATAGAATAAGATTAATACAGTTTCCCTTTTTATAATGAGGAAAAAAAGCACAATTTAAAGTTTCAGACAATTTAACGTCAGGTTTTGGAAACACTTTCTGGCGTTTGGTCCACGACATCCAACTACAAATTAAAAATAAATTACTATGTTGCAATTTACATTTTAAAACAAGTCCATGAATAAAAAGAAAGCGATTTTCATATACCGGGACTTTCTCCCTCCTTTCAACATAGGATAAAATAATATCTTACAGGTGAGAGGCAAGGAAGAAGGCAGGGAAAGGGAGAGGAGAGGAGCAGGAAAGCGAGTCTCTGAAAAGCAAGAAGAAACTTACGTGTTATCTGGAGTAACACTGTCCTTTAATAAACCATGATTTTGCTGTCTCTGTACAAAATAGTTTACGTTTTTGTTTATTTAGATAAGGCAAAGTGGACGTGGCTCTGGATTAATCTTTTAAGAAAATAGTTTTCTTTGAGCTGGTGCTGGTGAGTTGAATTTGGGAAGGGAATCTGTTTGCTGGTGTGCTGAATATCTCTCGTATTTTTAAATTGCATATTTTTTAGTTTCGATTTTGCATTGATGGATTCTTTCGGCTGTTCCTGCATTGGGATTCTATTCAGTTCGGCTTTGACGGTGCCAGGACCAGGAAGGGGGTCAAAACTTGCTACAGTCATAGACAAAAGCCCCGGACGTGCGATACAGAGACTGGCTGGCAGGGAAGGCCATCTGACAGCTACTATTCCCGTTCACCGGAGAGTTGTTCAAGCCGATCCGCTGCGACTCAAACATCTCCCGCACCGAGTGGAAGTTCTGCTGCTGCCCGGGGTAGCCCGCGGCCGCCGCCRCCGCCGCCGCGCTCGCCAAATGGCCCAGGTCACCGCCCGCCTGGTTCAGGTACCATGAGGTGAGCCGGCCTTGGTGGGCTGCAGGGTGGTGGCCGGTCTCCTGGCCGCCCCCGCCGTGACTCAGGGACGATGAGCTGCTGCTGGTGACTGGAGGCAAAGAGTAGTCAGGCAGGGAGTCTTCCACTGCTGAGCCGCCCGCGCCCCCGGGTGCGCCCTGCAAGTGGCCGCCGCGTTCGCCGGCGGCATACAGGCTCATGGCCTGCAGGTTGCAGTGGTAGGTCCCAGCGCCCCCAGCGCCCCCAGCGCCGCCCCCGCCGCCGCCGCCGCCGCCTCCACCGGAGCTGCCGGCGCTGGAGCTCTGGCTGCAGGGGGAGCTGTAGAGGGAGCTCTGGCCAGGCGAGTAGGCTCCGAGCGTCAGCTGGGGTGCGATGCCCGCGCGCGAGGACGCGGCCGCCGAGGCCAGGAGGCCAGAGCTGAGCTCCGCGGCTGTGCCCTGAGGCGACCCCCGGAGTGAAGTCATGATGTTGTCCACGCTGAAGCCCTGGCTGTGGTGTGGCGGCGGCGCAGGTTGCGCGGACTGCGGAGGCGGTGCGGRATCCGCACCGTCCAGGCTCAGCGGTCGCGCCGAAGGCAGGCTGCCCGGAGGGCTGCTCCCGCTCGACAGACTGCTGCTGCTGCTGTCGGGGCTCTCAATTTTGGGCACCGTGGCGGCGCTGCCGCTACCCAGGGCGGCGGCCGGGGACAGGGGCTGGGGCGGCGAGGGGCACGTACCGTTCTCAGTCTTGATGTCCTGGATGCGCACCGGCGGCGGCTGCGGTCCGGGCGCGGCGCCGTCTGCCTGCTCCGGCGGCGCGGGCGGAGGCTGGCGGCCTGGCGGCGGTGGCGGAGGCTCTTTGAGGTGCAGCCGGTCCTTCTCCTCCTTGTCCTTCACCGCGTCCTTTTTCTTGAAGCGCCGTCGCCGCCGCAGGAAGCTGCCGTTCTCGAACATGTTGTAGGAGTCCGGGTCCAGCGTCCAGTAGCTGCCCTTGCCCGGCTTCTTGTCGTCGCGGGGCACCTTCACGAAGCACTCGTTGAGCGAGAGGTTGTGGCGGATGCTGTTCTGCCAGCCCTGCTTATTGTCCCGGTAGAAGGGGAAACGGTCCATGATGAACTGGTAGATGCCGTTGAGGGTGATCTTCTTGTCCGGGGCATTTTGGATGGCCATGGTGATGAGCGCGATGTAGCTGTAGGGCGGCTTCACCATATCCTTGGGCTGTGGCTGGGGCGTGTAGGGCCCGTAGGCGCGCGCCATGCCGCCCGGGTATTGCTCGGCGTGTGCCGGGTGCGAGTACACGCTCATGGGGGCCGGCATGGCTGTGTAGCCGCCCCCGGCCGCTGCCGCCGCCGCGCGGTAGTAGCTCTGCTCGCCGCCGAGGTAGGGCACCACTCCCAGGGAGTTGGGGCTGGACACGGAGTAGCGCGCCTGCATGGCCCCGGCTCGCCGCCGCCGCCCCGCGCCGCCCGCCGCCCCCCACCCTCGCTCCGGCCCGGCCGCGCCGCGCCGGCCGCTGAGTCCGAGTCCGAGTCCCGGCCCCGCCGAGCTGGTGCTGGCCCGGCGCGCTGCGTCTGGCTCGGCCGCCGCCGCCTCCCAGCGCCTTGGGTTGCGCGGCCTCTCCCTGCGCTCGCTGGGGCTCTTGGGGCGCCTCCGGCCACCTCGGGACCCGCGGCAGCCGCGAGGGAGGGTCGCTGAGAGGGGAGAGGGCCCGACGAGGATGCGGCTAACCGCCTTGGAGGAACTCGCAGAACAACTTCCAGGCACAAACGGAAAAAAAGAGCCAAAAATAAAGACCAAGAAGGCGCCCTTCTCGCCACACTGCCTGCGCCTTCCAGGAGACTGCCCCGAACTGCCGGCGAAGGCGGCCAAATAACCAGGGGCGGGGGGGCAGCGCGCCGGCCGCCTTCCCGGGCCCCGCGTCACCTTTTTTCAGTCTCTCGCGCGCCGGCCGCTTAAGGAAGCATTGGGAAAACTTCTGAACTTTTGAGCATCCGTCACCCAGGCGAGGACTTTTTTACGCAGTTACATTTTTTTCCGGGCAGCGGAGCCCCGCCCYGCTACGGCGGCGGCAGCCAATGGGAGGCGAGAACCGCCTCTGAATGAGCCGAAGGCMGAGCCCGACCGGCCCGCGCCCCGCGGCCGGAGGACCGCGGGGCTGACCACACGCGCGCCGGCCACCCGGGCCTCGCGCCCGTGCCCCTGCCCGCGCGGGTCAAGAGACGGTGGTCAGTTCACCCCTCGAGACCCACCAGCTCACCTCTGGCGCCCGGCACTACCTCTCATTCTGGGCCATCCGCACGAATTCCCATTGTTCCCGCAGACTTCCTAGGTCCTTCCTAGGGCCTCAAGCAGACCCTCTTCGGTCCACCGCTCCCAAATGCCCACTGAGTCCTCAGGCCCCGCCTCGCTCTGGCTCTCTCCCATTCCTTCGCCGATACACCTGGCTCCAGCGCCGGGGTTTCCCGGGCCTCTCTGCCTATCTGCCCACCTTTTCTCCCCCACACCCCTTTCCTCTCCCTCCAATCGCCACTCTCACTCGGTACACCGACGTCTCTAATCCCCCCCACCCCCAAACACACACACCTGGAGGTCTCTTCCCGTCCTGAACTCAGTCCCAAAGGGCACTATTTTGAGGGCTCAGTCACATCCCTGCAGTTTTCAGTGGGGAAAGTGTTGTCGCCACACCTAGACTCCTTACATTACCGTTTTCTAGTCGAAATAAGGAAAGGGGATACGTGTCCCTGCTAGGAGTTTGGGACCTTAGTTCGTCCCCGTAGACTGTGCCCTCTTCACTACAGCTCATCTTACTCCTAGGCGCCCCAGGGCCCTTGGCTGCCCGAGGGTACCGGCGGCGCSTGCCGTAGGAGCCGGCAACTTCCCCACGTTCTTCCCCACTCGTCCTSCGAGAAGGGTCCGCAGCTCGCGGCTCGCCTAATGTCTCTTCCCACCCCTCACGTTTCTGGTCAAGCTGTGCGCTCAGTGACATCAGCAGGTGTGATGACAAAAAGCAAAGAAGCACGTCTAAGAGCTTAATGCTTCCCCCAGGCCAATCTCTATCTCCACACGTCTCCCAGGGATAAAGGATGTGTTTGGGAGATGTTCAGAATCCCACCTGTAGGGCGGCTCAAAGATTCTGGGGGTAGGAGCGCAGAATGCCCCTTCCGCTGCCTCCCCCGCGACCTGTGCTTTCGCCTGGGTGCTTGCAGCCTCTGGGTGACTGGGATGGGATAGGAAGAAAAGAAATGAGAGGGAACGAAACGAAGGAGCAGGAAAAGGACCGGCCTTTCTCCGCCTTCGGTGCGATTCTACTTTTCAGCAACTTTTTAATAAATACCCTTCCGAGGCTGGACAAGAGGTCCTTTACTAGAAGCCAGGAGAAATAGCTAGTTTAAGAGACTGTGAAGAAGTATGCGTGGTGCATTTTACACCTCCGCTTCTCCAATTTCTGACGTTCTTTAACTCAAGGACTTGTTGGGAGCCCCTTTTGGCTTCCCAGTTTGAATCCTGCCTTCCTAGCTTTTTTCCTCGAAAATTCTAATTGCAGCTTTGGTTGTTAAATGTTAAGGATGCTAACTTATGTAGCTGGAACAGCTCTGAGTTACTTGAAAACACACACGCACGCGCGCACACACCCACCTAAAATGGATATTTACTTCAAGGGAAGAGAAAGATTTGCTGTTTCGAGAATTCCTTTTTTTTTTTTTTTTTTTTTTTTTTTTGGCGTGTGAAGGGGTATGGGTTGCCCGGAAGTTAGGAAAATCCAGAGGCAGTTGCCTCCTGGCCTGCAGTGCGTTTGGGTCACTTGAGCTCCCTGTCTGGGGTTATTTGCAGTCCTGGGTTGGAAGAAACACTAAGTTTTCTAACAGAATCATCTAGCTGGTGATTCTAAAGACATTTGGGTATGGTAGGGGTGTGGTTAAGCCCCATGATTTAGTGTCCATCCCTATCCCTGAACCTGAAGGTCGTTTCAGCTCCTTTGGAGGAGACTTTAAGTGTGTGTGTATGTGTGTGGGGGGGTCTGGCTTCAACCTGCAGGACAATAAGAAAGTGAACTCCCTAAACACCTTAGCTTTTGGTGAATTGAATCTTCGCGTTTGCACTGCTCCTAGTACTTGGAGAGAAATGCAGAGTTTAGCAACTCATCTAGATGTTTTCCGAACGTGGGAAACACCAGCAGGCCGGGTTTTGCAACAGACAGTGTACTCCGCTACCTCCCSCCTCCCTCCAATCCACAGTCTCCAGCTTCCCTCCAGCCCAGGGAAGTGTAAACAGCTTGTTATGTAAATTGCAAATCGAACTGCTCCGACGCTCTCCGTTCCCGCTTTGGGTATAGAAATTGCCTTTGTGAAATTAGTATCTGGCTTGCAGGGTSGGGGTGGAGGGGAGAATGGAGGGGCGCAGTTTTATAAAGATCAGCTTTCCACTGGTTTAGCTCTGGATATTCGCCAGGAAAAGATATTTGCATTTGTGTTTTATAAGCTTATTCGGAAGCAAACCTCCAGTAAACGGTTTGATTGTATTTCAAGCACTTTACTTATTTTATTATTGTTACTTAGGAGGTTGTTTGAACATTAAGACACCGACATGAAGTCTTTTGGGAAACAACAGGTTAAAATTTTTATTTTCAGGCTAAGGTTTTTGATTCTCCTTTTCTGTTGCTACAAGGGTAGCTCAGTCGTCTMTCTCCCCTAGAACCCAGATCTAATTGGCAGAAAGGCCCCCCGCAGAACCCTTTCGGCTTCTTTTTGACACCTCGAGTACTTGCAGCCTGAAGGCCCCGCAGGCGACAGCAGTAATGGATGTGTAGTGGAAGCGTCGCTCCACGCACCCCACCTCATTCCCCTCCTTGACCCTCCAGGCCCGGTGGCAATTTTCCGGGCCCACCTGAGGGTTCTTGCTCTGAGTAGGGGCGTGACGTCACAGCAAGGTTTAAAACAAGATCCCTCTGGGCCCCTCCTACGCAAAAGCACCAGGAAGGGGGAGGTGGCACGCATTCCAGGAAATGCCCGGTTAGGGGAGGAGGTATGGAGAGTTGGGGGCGAAGGGACCATGTTCTAACGAGTCACCAGGAGCCAGAAATCCCTCTCCTTTTTCGAGTAAAAGAGCGAAAATCGGGGTTGGGCAGGGACCCCTGGAACGCAGAAAATCACTACCCAGGGGTGCAAGCTGGACCCAAGCTGCTTCCATTGCCCACCCTGGGAGACCCCTTGCTCCTCAGCCTTCCTGAGTTCTCAGTCAGCCCTGGGCGGCTATGTCGACGGCCGGGGGGTGTCCAAGCCTCCACCCCATTTTTTAAAAAAAGTTTTGCCCACGTTTTTGGATGAGTTTAGCCCTAGAAGTGGAAACGTCGAGGGGCTAGGACGTCCGCGATGGGACAAGAGCTACCAGACATGAGAAAGGCAGGATGAGATGAGAGAAGGGACGACCCAGCAGGCAGCAGGGATTCCCGGGGGCTTTGCACACCCAGGAGAAAGGCTGCACGTTCGCAGCATCTCCCACTTCGCTGTGGGAGACGTGGAGGATTAAGGCAATTATCCCGACGATGCGACTTGAAAACTTCCCACTAGGCTGCCATCAGAAACAACTGGAGCCAAGGCCTTTTGGGGGTGTCTTTGAACTATTTAGATAATTGTCTTAGTTCTCCATTTGGCCTGGTTTGCGAAGCCCAGGGATAGGGGAGGATACCCAGGTGTCAATGCCCGTTATTCGTTATCAAACCATCAGGCAGGTTGCGTTTGTCATCGGTGTGACTTTTCAGCAGAGGGAGGAGGAGGGGACCAAACGTCTGGGTGGCCGCGCGACTGGGACGGATCGACTTCCTCCTTCTCTCTCAGTTGGAGAGTTCGCGGAATAGAGGTTTGGTTAATTCGGTCCCTCTATTTCAGCTTCTCCTTAGTTGAAAAAAAAAAATGCCTACAATACAAACGAAAAGAGTTTGTTTTTCGATTGTTTCCAAGGTAAAGTGATCTGTGTTACCTATCTACATGATTGAATGAATCGGATAGTGGCCGTCTTAGACGCCGCGGCCCAGTAGGGGAGGTTCGTACGATAGGATAATTTAATGTCATCTTCCCAAACTGTCCCCACCCCCTTATTGAGAGAGAGAGAAGGAAGGGGGGAGGGAGGGAGGGAGAGAGAGAGAGAGAGAGAGAGAGAGAGAGAGAGAGGGAGGGAGGGAGGGAGAGAGATATTATTACTCCTAGGAATGAGTTCCTTTTGTCACCCCTTTGTAGGAAAACCTCAGTCTCGGTGAAGAGCGTTTTCGGGGCTCTGAGTCTAGCTGAGCAGTAAACTGGGGTCACAAGGCTTCTGGCAAGTGAACCTTTAACTTTGATGCCTGGCCACAAAAGGCTCAGGGCATTCTTTGTCTAGGCAGAGGTAGCTAGAGAGTCAAACTGGCACCTTTCATAATCTGAAATTAGAATAAAACTTGT